GCCGTCCCCTCCCCCCCCCAGGGCGGCGCCCGCCGTCACCTCATGGCCGCCCGGTGGCGACAGGAGCTTCTCTGTCCTCCCGCAGCGACGCGGCGGAGCCTCCTCGGCCCAACCTCGAGCCCCGGCACCGCGAGCTCATCCCCACCCCCTGCGGGCCCGTGAGTATCCGGCCGCCCGCGGCTTTGCCACAGCGCTTCAGCGAGTCTTTCATATCCATAAAATAATATGCATTTCCTCCATATACAAGTTTTCTATATACATATTATATATAACTGCTAGCGAGTGTTTAGGCTTCATGATTGTTCATTCAACACAACCGATTTGCCAAGGAAACCTGCTTCCAAAAAACACTTTCATTCAGATGGTCAATTATTACTTTTTTTTTTTTTAACAACACCTTGTTTTCAAAGAGAGGATACATAATCTATCAAAAATTACCTTATATAAGAAATATTTCCAATATATGTTAAAGTCATGTTCACTTAAATATTTCCAATATATGTTAAAGTCATGTTCACTTAAAATCACTTGCCAGCAGCTTAGCCAACGTGCTTTAATGCATTTCTTACAGAAGAGCAAATCTGTGGCAGATGATTTGTTTAAAATGTTTTCTCTCTTTACAGATAAAGCCTTGTTCAGAGCTGTCCTTTCCTGTCAAGATCTACTTCTGTGTGACTATTTTGTCTCTGCTGAGTGTAATAGGGTTCACTGTAGAGACACTCATTCAGCAAACTGAGGAAAATTTCACCATTTCTTTTATACAGTTAGTTGGAGTTGGTAAGACATGTACTTTTTATATTTTAAAACAAATAAATTCTTTGCCAAATTAGTAATTAAGGCACAACCAAAGATTACTATTTAATTCCATCTGACACATTATATGCACTGTCTTTAGTTTAGCATTACAAGCTAGATGCTTTTGCCACTGTTGCTTTTTTTCCAGTAGTATTTTAGAAAAAGGATCAATAATACATGTGGTATCATATAAAACATATTCATATGTGAACAGCATGAAAAATTACACCATATGCAATCCGTGTTCACTTAGTAAATGACAGTTCTTTTTCCTTTCCAGTGTTCTGTGTATATTATGTGACTAGAGGAATCCTGCAGGAGAATCGCCAGGAACTTGTTGTCTTTGTTCTTTCCATCTTGCTAGTGATGTTTCGTTCCATTATCAACTTTGCAGTTCTTTCAGATGAACAGAAGCCAAAACTCCTGGTTAGTCTCCTTACTTTTCTCCAAATCTTGGATTTGATGATTTCAGAAAGGCAAGGAATCTGTGATAAGGGCACTGAACTGATCACAGATAAAATGGGCTGAATTATTCCTGCTAAGTCACAGGAATTGACACTTCTCCAATTGTACCTCTGTTTCTCTAAGCAATTTTAAGGGTTGCTTTATAGCAATACCTGAAAGTATCATTAATATCATAGAATTGTGCTCACATGGGACTACCACGGAAGATGGCTCCTTCACTTAACCAACTCTGCCTCAGATTTCAGTCTATAAAGTGACCATCTTAAAGTCATAAATATGACCTAGGAACTGAACTGGAATCTTCTGAGCTGATATGAGGAAACGGTCACATTAGGGTCTCATTTTCCTGATATAATGCCCATAATTTCAATGTTGTGATTTTTAAGAGAGTTATGATATCCGCTGCAAGGGAACAAAAAGGTATAGTGTACTAGAGGAGGTGGTGTCATTCTACACTTGTGTTTGTTTCACAACAGTAAAATGTAAAACAAGAACTGTACCCTGTGCATTAATAGGGTTTGTAGTTTAACTTCCTCTTGCTGTGCTTCTCAGAAGTCCTTCCCTTTTACGGTCACAGAGCTTTCCCAAAGGTGAAAAGGAGGTTCTATTCATCTAGAAGTTGTTCTTAGATAGAAGAGATTGCAACCAAGCTATCAAGATCAAAGCAGAGCATAATTTGTCCAGTCAGGGTACATATCAGTTGTGCATTTAAACATACTTATCTGCAGCAAATGGGATTGATAGGGTCAGGCATCAGGCATCAAAGGGCTGCCGATTATTTTAAGGTATGTATGCCTAGCCTTCAGCTTACATACTAAATACATAAAATAAGGCCTGATACAGAAGATTAAGGATGTTTTTGACTCCTAAAAGAGTAACTTGGATTACTATAACTACCTCCACTTCCTGAGCAAAATTGCTGTGCGAGAATAAGTCTACCAGCAAAAACAGAGAGTATGAATGTACAGTTGTTACCAAGTGGTGACATTAAATGACCAGAATCACAAACAGCTCTTCACCAATTAAAAATATGGCAAACTACCATGTTTAGTTGTAACTTAGACTGCTTACTTCAGATCTCTGTAGGCAAAAATCAGGTAGCTTGGATATTCTTATTCCTTTATTATTTCCATTTAAAAGCGATTCAAAGACTCTCCCTTTTTCAGTGTCACCAGTCACTTCCTTATTTGTCTTTCCCATCAGGCCCGCTTCATTCTGATTCTCCTGGTTGGCTCCTTTGATGTGATCTGTGCCATCATCCTCATTCAGAGTGAAAGCATGATGGCCTTCCGCGTGGGCGGCGCTCTGGAAAGCCTGCAGTCACAGTACTTCATGCTGAACCTCTGTTTTTCCATGTTGACCTTTGATCTCCAGGCACAGGTATAGAACTCTCTCCCCAGATTCCCTTTTTTCTCCCATTCTATCAAGCAGAAGTTAGAATTAGACCAGCTGAACTCAGCTGTTATCTTCCTAGAGCAATCCTGTCTTCCCTTTTAGTTAAGGTTAGCCTAATAATGCTCATCTCTCAAGGTATTTACTCTACGGAAGTTTGGCTAAAGAACAGGAAAAATGGATCCATGTAACATTTTCTTGTTGTTATACCAAATTAATGAAAAACAGATTCTTATTTTGGAGAGATAAGATTACAGACATTTTCAGCTAAAAGAGTTGTCCTGCAATAGGGCAAGTGTTGCTAGGATGGGAGAGGGGAGGAAGATCATAGCCTGACCTAGCACAATAATAAGGATGAGATAACATGAAGTTACAGATAAGAGAACTGAATCCAAGGCCTGTTTAGAAAGAGTCTGTGCTTCTGTACAGCATCATGCATTCTTACTCTGCTCCTGCACTGTTTTATAGTTTGCCTGGAGTACATCTTGCTGCCTTTCTTCTACTGTTGCTAGTATGGCCTAAAGGGAATGGTGTCTGTTGAGTTTTTGAGGAAAAAAAAAATCTAAGATCTGCCCAAGTCTCTGTTGCTGGGATTATGTCAGATACTGTCAGTCAGCTGTATTGTTTTAAACTAATTTTATCAAATCTTTGTCTTTTCTCTTGTAGCTCTGCTTGTGTGTTCTGCTGACAAGCCTGCGTGAGACCACCCTTCTCCACACCATCCTCTCAGCAACAGGAGTCCTCTGGGCATGCCTGAAAGTGACCGTTAGCGTCATCGCAGTAAGTGTTAATCTAACAGTGACACTCGCAAGGGGAGTCACCTTCCAGGACCACAGAGTCTCATCCTGAGCGATGATCACAGGCTGGGCAGCCACAGCCATGCTGTTCTATACACACTGCGAAGTGGGAGGGAGCCCAAATGGATCCCAATAGAAACCAAGAGCAGCAACACTAATGAAGTCAGGTTTCTTACAGATCCGAGCCTCTCCCCTGAGCATACAGGATGAGACAATCTCACACTATCATTATTCCTCATTAATGAGGGACATTATTATATTCTCCATCCTCTACCTGACCACCTACTTTCATGAAACTTATAGGATCACAGTATCTTCAAGATCTCTACCTCTCTGACAAGGTTAGGTGAAACTGGCAACAGCCCTGCAAATTATTATGAAGATGGATAGACAGACAGAGTGAGACTGCACAGGCCTTATTTCCTTAGGAAACCACACCAAAACGAGTGGTCCTTTATCACCAAGGTAAGTGGCAATTTTTAGGTTAACATAAGGATTTGTGAACTTGTGTAGTTTTTTATGTCAGTCAGAAAGAACTTCCTTTGAAATCTGAGAGCTCTGCTCCAGGAAGGGTTGTAGAATCATGCGCAAAGTTGATCAGATATATCAGTATGATACCAGAGGGAAGGATTTATTTTTCCTCCAGGTTTCTTGGTTGTTTGCTTTAGTCATTCAAATTCCTAAGAACCGAAATAATGTCTAGCTCATACTAGAAAACTATTTCCTGGATACCAGTAAGAGTTTTGTTTGCTTTCCTTGGAGAAGAAAAAAAAAAAAAAAAGGGAGATTAGATGGCCACTAGGAGCTCCTCGCATATCTTTAGGAATCCCTGGATCTTTGCTTTCAGCTAAGTGTTATCAGATATGGAAGGAAGGCTGGTACACTGCTGCCTTCTCTAGAAGAAAAAGTTCTCAGTTCCTTGTCTAACTGAGCAATAGCAGTGTAAAATAAATGAAGCTGCTCGTGCTAGCTGGAGGCGCTTGCTGCAGGACCGCAGGGCAGCTGGGCCTTAAAGATCAGGTATATTTGGTCAGGGACTGGCAGCTTCGCATTGAAGGAAAAAACGATTCTGAGGCTAGAGAATACAGAGGGTTTGTCAGAGGGGTCTGTGTAGGAACTCCTTTTCCTTACCCTGTTGAGAAAAGCTTTTCACAATCCTTTTGTGCAGATGATGTATCTGTAGAGTAACATGTCACATGGGTACTTTCCAAACAGCAGCTCCTCACGCTGTTGTGTAAGAAAAATATGGAGACATACATAATATACCACAAAACATAAGTGTAATAGAAGGGAGGACTTCGAAGCACCTCGTAGGCAGTCTTTTATGGAAACTGCAGTACTTGAAAACAAAACTTCAAGGTTGCCTATTTCTGGGCTGATGCTAAATGCCATTTCACAAGGGCATTGCTCATCGTTTTTTTCATTGTTTGTTTTGTTCTTTAATTTATGTCCATGGTCTCCCACTTCCTTTGGTGGTTTTCTTTTTCCTGTCTCCATTATTAAATTTAGGCTCCATAATACTCTCTTCTCCCATTTATCTTGTTAGTCTCCTCTCATTTTCTAGCCTACCCATACTCTGTTCTTTCTCAGCCTTAGTCTGTTTATTTATTCTTTTGCTCTTAACCTAAGAGAAGCACCATGCAATAGCACAGAAAATGGAGCCAGCAGCAGAGAATGGCCACAATCTCTTAGGAGGGGCTCACTTCCCTTAATGCTTCTATTCATTGCAGAAGGATCGATATTGATCTTGAGGGTTTGATCAGATGCATCGAATCTTATCTTAACAGTTGGCCCGGTCACTGTTTTTACTCACAGTGACACAACAGTTTTTCTTTAGTTTGTTCAGACTTGCCCTTCTGGTTAAGGATTGCTGGAAGCTGCCACCAGCTACATTAGCTCTAGGGATTTTCCCAGCCATGAGGAAGAAGAAATGATGGACTTGCTTTTTGAGTCTCAATGTTAAGCATGACAGTTATTCTAAAAGTAAGTCCTCTGCCTTTTCTCACATCTTTAGTTCTCAGAGACTTTACTTTCCTCCAAGAGAGATAAAGCTGGAGGAAAAAAAAAGTGACAAAGCATGTGCTGTAACTTATGAAAATATTAAATTGTTAGAAAGAAATAAGAGTATATCTCAAGAACTATAGTAAAAAATGCTGGAAAAAATGCACTGGTCCTCAGAAGAGTCAACAGCTTATTCATTTAAGTTAGCTGGCAAGTATAGAAGAAACTGGAAGCATAACAAGGCATAACAAGGCAAGGCTCAAGAGGGTGCCCACATGGTTCAAACCACGTAGCTGTCAAGTTGTGCCCATAAAATCACCAGTTTTGATTTTCATTGAGCACTGTCCTGGGTTAGTGGAAAGAGAGATCATATTTCCCGCCAAAGAGCAGAAGGGGAGAAGGCAAGTAGAAAGCAAAGTTATAACAAGGCCTGGAAACTGAGCTAGAGCAACCCTTTAAGTGCTGTTGGATAAATGTATAGCCTTTATAGAGCACATATCAAACAGTTAAAGCCACATATATCCCATCTTATTTTACAGATTCTAAAAGAACTGAAACCTCTGGTGTGGATTTTTCTAAGCCAGAATGTACCTGAAGTTGTTTTTCTCATCTACCTGCTTTACATGGTATGCAACTCACTTGATAATCGGGGGCAAGACTGGAGGCCTTCACTACATTATGGGGTCCCTAAGACTCACAACATGACACCTCATTCATGAGCCTCCCCCTCATTGTGGCAGTTACATCCTACCTCTTCAAGGTCAACTCTCCAGACAGGAACCATTCCAGATTGCTTGAGCTGATTAGTTGCAGGGAGAGGCTGTGGAAATATCTGCAGCTAGCAAACTGTCCAGAATGATTAGAGAAAGATGCAGCAAAATGAGCCAGCACAAGATAAACAGCTCTTCAAAAATGCCTCCCCTTCTTCCCAGTAATCTGCAGTGCAGAGAGACTGACATGTAAGATGAAGTCTAGTTTCCTCATTGCCAGCACAGCTGTTTTTTCAGTTTGCATGCAATACTGTTCTCATATGACTTTAATCATGTTAGGATTAGAAGGCATAAAACAGTTAACTAGAAATTAGATTAGTCTGCAATGAGGAAAACAAGACAGTTTAAAAGTACCTAGGTTTGCTTTTGATTATCTGATTATCTGTTGACTTCTTTCAGCAATTTAATGATTGATCCTCATTTTACAGCATCATGGTTTTGTGGCACTAGATGCTGATCGTTTTATGTCTCCATTTTCCTGCAGGTGATAACAGAGTGGGGCAAAGGAAATTCTTACACTCTGGAAGCTGCTGTCATTACTGGCGCCTGCATTTCTGTTGCAATAAAATGTATTTTGCTTTGGGCATTGATCCATGTCTACCGCAGCTTTGGACAAGGGCTGAGAGAAAGAAGTAAGTAGTTTAAAAAGATAAGAAATATTGGTATTTGGCAGAATAAAGGGACACAGAGAGCCCCTGATCTTAAGCTACCCAAGCCTCCTGTTACATTAGGGACATAAATACCAGGCATTGCTGTTGACTGTGATGTTTTTCCTTTCTTCCCACAGTGTTTTCTTCCTATGGAAGGATTGACTCCTGAGCATTCCCCCCGTGTTTGATCTGCAGCTCTCAGAGTGAAGTCATAACTGGGAAAGTTCTGATCATGCGCTTGCATTCAGAGTATAAAGTAATGGGTCAGTTTGCCGAGAAGGGGAAATTGCTTGGAAAAGCTATCCCAAAAGGGCAAAGCTACTCAACTTTTTGATCCTACAAAATCATCATCCAGCATCTATACATTTCTTGGTTTATATTGTGCTTGGAAGCTATATCAGTGTAGCTAGTAACCTAGCTAAAAAGCAAAGTACACTCTAGAACTTAACAATAATCCTCTCATTCAATATGTCTTGCTGACAGAACAAGACAACGTGCACTATTTCCCTTAATAATGTTTTGCAGCTGCAAGAGATTCACAACCTACATGAGTGGAGAATAACATAAATGCTGGTTTAATCAATACACCAGCATAATGAAGACAATTTGCACAGCAGTCCATTTTTTTCACTGACCCTTGAAGTAGATTGCCCTGCCCTCATTTCGCCACAGCTGTGCTGCTGAACAGAGGTTACTAGAGCACAGCACAAGTTTTCTCTTGCTACACAGCAGTTAGATGATTTTCATAACCATCTAAGTTGTTTTGATTCCCCAACCTCCATCCTCACAGAAGGCCTAGGGCTTTTTTCCAAATATTTATTTATTTTCTTTTTAATCCCAACTATACATTAGATCTACACAACTTATGTCCTAACTCTGATAATGGAGCTAACCAATGTGCCATTTCTTGTGCAGTGGTGATTCTTTGAATAAACCTTTTTAATTAAAAGTTTCATATTTTACTAGTTGGAAGCACTTTTACTGGCTGTGTATTTTTTTTAAATAAAGTATGAACTGTTGGGACATGGATGATTACTTCTTACATCAACAGCATCACTTAGGTGGGAATAAACAGAGTATGGAAGAGGCTGGAACCGCAATTAACATGTGCTGTGATAATTGCCACCACATTTCCCTTCATCTACATCTTTAAATTATGGGCACTGCACAAAACAGTTGATTTATTATAACTTAGGAGACTTTTACAGGGAAAAACTCAAAAGTTCTATAAAAAAATATTTCTTGCAATAGTCTTCCCAACCTGAAGTGAATCTATTCTATATACACTGGCGGCAGGAAGAGGTTAAATGTCTATAGTCAGACCGCACAGCATAAATTTCAGCACTTTTTACCCAGCTAATCTGATCCTGGATACAGATAATCATTACGCCACCTGACTGGGCCAACCAACTTCACATTTTATAATATTAAGGCAGATTATTCTGCCTTAACAAAAAGCAGTTATCACATTATTAATCAGCTCTCACCAATCAAAAAAGGAAAGCAAGGGGAACAAACCACACCATCCCCATCGTACAAAAATAAATAAATAAAGGAGGCCCTACATAACCATCAAGATATTCCACTGTCAAAAGTCTTAGCAAGTTTTTACCTAGAATGGTATGGAAAACAGGCTTTCTGATTTTGGTCATTTGCTCAATTTTTTTACATAGCACTTGTTAGTGCAGAAGCAGGAGGTCAAACTGATTTCTCCATGCTTAATTAATAAGAATTGTTTGAGAACCACACAAGGCCAAACTCCTCCTCATCTCCACAATTGATACTACTTTGCATTACAGAAAAGCTACAAAAACAAACATTTTAACACCTCGCACATGAAATAGAAGATAATTTGGCGAAGAGCTTTTAGGCCTCTAATCCTGTGCTCCACATGAACAAATCCTTAATTGGTATAGCTAGTTAAAATTGTCTTAAAAAGCACTACACAGTAATGTCTATGACAAAACAACTTTTAATACCACTGCAAACAATAGGTGCTTCTCCACCACTCCTTTTATTAACAATGCAGTAAATCTTCTCGTTGCACAAGGAGGAGATTGTCATCAAGAGGTGGAATTACTGCACAAAGATTAAATTTGATTTACTAATCCAGGGAAGAGCAGCAGCAAGCAAAATCAATACTGAGCTTTGCATCCAATAGCAGAGGGTTTTTTTTTTTTTTTTCTTACTGAGACAGCTGAAATCCATGCTGCCACATCATTACTCCATGAACAATCTAGATAATCCCAATGGTAGTGTTGACACTCTCCTAAAGTTTCATATAGGCCAAAGGCCAAGTTATATCTTCCTCTTCTGGGCTGCTTTAAATTTGTTTCAACTTGCACAGCAAATCCCAAACCTTTTACTTTGGAACTTTTGATAAAATACTGGTATCCAATTTTAGACATTTAGAAAGACCTGCACACACTTCTAGAAAACAGAAGCTACTGTCCATGAGACAATGTATAAAATACCCAAACTGCATTTTTGGCTTACAAGTAGCAATTGTGTATACCTAATTTTATATTTCCAACATTCAAAAAGCTGCTGCTGCACGTATGCAACTTTTAAAAAAAGAATTTATTGAAAGGATTGAAAAATATTTGTTTTCAACAATATTTAAAACAAATTTTTGGAACATTAACAATATGTAACAAGATTTTTCTTTAAAAAAAATCAGATTTTCTTCTAAACATATTCACTTCCAAGCCTCTCTCTGGCTCTGTTGAGATTGGAAAGCATGTGAACAAACCCTTATATTAGAAATACTGCTCATAACCAGCAAAAAGCTACCTCACTAGTTCACCTTAAAGGAGTTCCTGTAACAGAGCAAGCAAAATGAGTTTTCTTTTTTGTTGCTGCAAAATGTAACCCAGTCTGCATTAGCTTTTTCTGTTTCAACTCTAGTTTCAACAGATGTTGCTCTCCCCGCTGTACTTCCCACCACATGCACACTTTAAACAGTCAAATATGCAAAATCTGAATGCCAATCAAACCTCACTGTCATACCTGCGAATTGCTGGTTTGAGGAGTAAAGGCCTTGAAAAGGGACTTTGGACAGTCAGATAAATTCGTAATCTATTAACAAATAATTTGGATTGTGTTTTGGTAAAGAGTAGCTAGGAATATTATAATCCAAGTGTCTTTTCTGACATCCATCCATCCATACGTCCACCCATCCATCCCTGTCCCCCACAGTCAGTGGTTGTACCTCTCTACTCGACTGCGCAGTGACCCGAGGACGAGATCGTCATTGAGCAGGAAGAGCAGTACAAGCAAAACTGCAGAAGCTGCAAAGCCCATAATGCGATTGCAATAGAGGATAAATTTAAAGACATCCCAGGAAATCTAATTCAGAGAAAGTAGTAAAATAAGTTTTGTTTACAGACTTCATGAACTACACACTGAAAGTCAGAAGTTGATAATTTACTCCATGAGATTTACTATTATGAAAAAGTATAAATAAAAAGTGCTGAATAGTTTTATCTTTAAAAACACTAAATAAGGCTCATTAATCATTTCATCTCACCTCCTCAAAATGATTTTCACTCCCTAACGTGCTTAGCATTCTGCTTACTTTTCGCTTAATGCATTTAATGCATTTATACAACCACTGTACCCTGTTCTTTGTCTCAATTATTGCGTGTCTAAATAAGAAAATGAATGGTTTTAAAGCATAAAGTTTGATGCTTCTATAGCTCAAAAAGTAAACGGCTATTTAATAACTGAATACTCCATCTAAAAAACCCGTAAGCAACTTCAAAGCAGTTTACAGATTACTGCAGACTGAAGTGAAAGGTAAATACCAAAAGCTATTTGAAAAATTCCAAAATATCATAAAATTTGTTTGTTTAGACTAAATTAAACCAATATTCTATTTTACAAAATTTACAAACTGAGCATTACTTTTAACAACACAATTTCATTGTAATTTGTATCCTTAACTGAGAGCTTGCTTCTGCTTTATGAAAAGTGCTCTCATCTTGATTTAATAAAATTAGACAGACTAGGGCAGCATCCAAAAAGGAAGAGACATTCATAAGGAGAGTAGGTTATTCAGAGTTCATTCATTACCACATTTCCCTTTACTGCCTTGGACCACACAAAAAACATAAGACAAGCATGAAGAGTTCAACAAAGCTCCTCAAACCCCTCGTAAAGAATTCCCATGTTAACCAGTAAGAAATTAATTCCTCCCCAATATTACAGTGTAGGCCATGTATATAACAGATAATATCCACTCCTTTAATGGCCAACGCAGCAACACTTTGAAAATGCTACAGTTTGGATAGTATCATCATGAGACTGCACCACAAAGAACATAAATGTAAACAATGTACTTGGGCTTTACATTTTTTCAGCCAACATACAGTACAAGCCCTTTTTCCAAACTGTTATTTTTTTAATAAAAGCATGTACAATAAAATATGTACATCAAGAAGTTAGAAACATTTGAAAGCATCTTAAAAAAGTACATACGAGACTTAGAATACGTTGCGTGTGCTGAAGGCACCATTGCTACTATGCTGGGAATGTGTATTCTCAACTGATCAGCCTACCCACGCAGTATTCCCTTCTGCAGTACTAAGCACCCAGAGTTGGAAGATGATACCTGTGAATGTTGAAGGCATTCCGGATAGTTTAGGATATAGCTTTTCTTCCAGACAGCGGAACTAGACAATATAGTGGTAATTGTAGTTCAAGCCCAAGCTCTTCCCGAGCACCTGGTGACATTTTAACTCCCTAGTCTCTAATACTACCATTCGTTCCACACGATAAAACAGTACGAAATCGAACACATTGATAATTCACCAACGGAAACTTCAGAGCTACAAATTAGCTCAGCTACCAAAATGCAAATCACTCTAACCCCAAGTTAGCCCACGCCAGCACTTGCCCATGCTATTTGTGGATATTTATACAGTGAACAGTGTTTGACCCTCAGCTGTCATCAATCAAATGTGCACAAGGGATTTTTCTTCCCTGTTTTTTAAAACTAGTCCCATCTATTCAGAGAAAACATATTCCTGCATGTTCCTTCACAGTTTGTCATGTTTGCGGCTACAGAGAAAGTATTGTAAAGGCTGCCTTGATAGGGAGGCATTCTGAGCAAGATATATTTAGTTAGCAAAAAGCCTCTTTTAAAATAAAATTCCTTAAGGTTTTATATCCAGAAAAAAATCTTAACAAATGGAATAATAAGTATACCAAATTAAATGTTTTAATGCCACTACTCTATTATGCTTCTGCATGCAGTCTACCTTGTTATTGGCAAGTTATTGGTTACAATCAAACCTACAGACCTGCTTGTCAATGCCACCAGAAATAAGCCATTTTGAAATTTCTAATTTAAAGGAAATTTTATCTGGATTGCAACAATCGGAACCTAATTTCTTCCTTTTCCTGGTAGACAGGAAATAGCACAATGACTTCAGGCCATCAACAGATCAGACTACTATGAGGTACTTCACTGTATACGTTAGTCTTGGTCTCCGTTCATGTTAGCCAAAAACTTAAAACCCAGATGTTTTAACAGAAGGGATACTGCCACTTTCCATTCCCATGAGTCTTTTTAGATGCAGACACTTAAAATTCTTCTTCTTCAACAGTAAAGTTATTTTGCTTCTTCCGAACATTCCAGTGTAAACACTCAGCCAAACTTTCAAACCAGTCGCTCACAGGATCTCGGAAACAGATCGAAGGAAGGGGATAGCAAGAGGTAGTGATGCTAATACTGCAACAACACAGAAGACTCCAGGTCAGTCAGGGGCAATGATTGGCAATAAACCCTCTCAGAAGTGACCCTGGATATATATTTTTTTTGTTGTTAATCCTTAAGGCACTAACTAAGCTACTACTGTGTTCAGCCATTTGGCTGAAAAGAATACGTTTCCATAATAAGGTAACAACCAAGAATGCAGGCACATCTAATCAGAGTGAACACAGGGTTCCAAATTGCTAATAGAAGCACTGCAGATAAGCTTTTTTTTTTTTTGCACAGGGAGAATTTTGAACCCACTCTGTGAAGTCCTGCATTCTCAACCTCAACACTGGGACAAAGGAAAATTTAAGTCATCATCTTGGCTTTTAAATTGCAAGTTTTAACTTGCAATTGTTAAGCTTGGTTTAAGCATATAACATTATTTAGAGAGGCACCGAATATAGCTAGCTCCTGTTGGCTTAACTCTTCTTAGACGTCCAAGATTTATCGTTAATTAAAATTTACAGAAATTTCTAAAGATACATCCCTTTCTTGCCAGCTAAGCAGTATTAGGGTTGATAAACACTTTTTTCTTCATTGCTCTTTTGACAGTCTAAACAGAATGAGAGAAATGCACAAACAGCTATTTTCTATATTTAAAAGAGATACTACAGCTTAAAAAAGACTTGACCTGTCTCCATGGCATATTTCCTGTCTCTTCCTTCCATCAAACGAAACCCATGCTGTATTCCTGGCATCTGGGGAAAGCATAATCTGAAAAAGAGAAAAGAACAAAATTTCAGCTTGCAAGACTATTATACTTTCTTTTTTCAAGAGCAAGGAAGAAACTTTTTTCATCTTCCCTTTGAGTATAGAATTTAGTCTTTCCAATTTTACAGTTCCACTGAAATTTGACATCTGTCAGTAATAGCTCTGCAGGAACATACTAAACAAGTTCTAACATTCATTTCATGTTTGGTATATGTTCTTCTATACGTCAAAAATTTCTCTCTAGCAAGATTATTAAACAGAAAGATCTTCCAGTTACAGACAGTGCAGGAACAAGTTGGTTCCATGAATTTACTTAGCATTTCTTCCAAAAAAAAAAAAAAAAAGGTATCAAGAGCAATAGGCTTTTAGCTTTAAAATTATTAGATTCAGGAAGCTATAAGTTAATTGCTCATACTTGACATAAGTTCTTTTGTTCTTATGCCAGAAAAGGACAAGTGACTGTCACTGGCTGCTAACACCCATTGCCACATAGATAACTGGATGGACAGCTGTGACATGAATAAACAAACATCCAATTCATGTAGTAAAACAAGAATAACAACACAGCACATATTTCTTAATGCCAAGGAAAATCCTTCTAATGATGTTATCTCTTTTCCAACTTAGCCGTTACAAGCTTTCAAGCTACTTAATGAGTAGAATGGGGGTTGATTCTTCCTTAAACAGATGCATTAACTAAAACTGCACAATAAACAAATCCATTTTATATTCAGGTTTTACATGCCAACATTTTCTGCAAGATTACATCTACTGTAACAAAAAAAAAAAGCAGTGAACTGCAGACACCTCTGCTAACACATGTAAAATCTGCAGTAGCTTTAGCCATGGAGAATTTTTCATTCATTTGAACTTCACCGAGTTGCATGCACTTTAGCAGAAATGATCTAAAATTCCATTCATCAGAACACAAATACACTACACATTTTTTGAGGAAGGCTGCCCAACTACAATCCAGTAAAAAACTGTACAAAAGTTTAGTCATAGTGGGTTATTATTTTACACAAAGATGTATTCTCCAAAGAGATTTGATCAAGTCCTCCCACAAATAAAAGAATTGCAGGAAACTCAATACACAGCAATTCCTGACCGCTTCTTTTGTGTCAGGATCCCTTGCTTATAGCAGCTTTTAGCTTGCAAGGAAAAATAACACAGAATAAGCTAACCTTGAGCTCCACTCCAGCAGGAACAACAATAGGTCTGAAAGACAGTGAGTGAGGGCAGATTGGAGTGATCATTATTGCAGGAACATTGGGATGAATCATAGAAGCTCCTGCTGCAGCGGCATACGCGGTGCTACCAGTCGGTGTGGAGACAATGACTCCTGTGAAAAGAGCAAAGTTTTGCTTACATTAACACTAGAACCAACACTGGTTTTAGAAGACTAAGAAATAGGACTGTCACAAACATGAAGCAAAGAATGTATCAACTTGGACTTCGCATAAGAGCTGTAGTCTAATATATATAAAGCCAGAAACTCTCTTCTAATTGCTGGACAGCATGTTTGTTGTACAGCCTCATGGAAATTGCACAAATTTCTAGCTCTCAGGCTACATATCTTGTAGCTTATCTTGCCATGTAACAGTGGCATTCATGTGTCGGTAAGGGATAAAAATTGCAGTTTACGAACTTCAACTTAGAGAACTCAGCTTTAATAGATCTTGGCCCTTCAGCAAATTACTGATAACCAGGCAAACTGTTTTCTGAGCTGCTTTTGTCCTTTATCCTAATATATTAGAGAAGCCATCACTTGTCTTCACAATGTTATATATACAACAAAACCTGCAATATTCTTTAAGGCATTGATGCTATTGTGGATTCCCTAAGTTATCAAAGCAAAGCCTTATCTATCCTTTGCACCTTTTCTGTAACTCAGGAACTGAAGCTGGAGATATTGCTTCCATATGAGAGAAACCAGCCTCTGGTAAAATGGCAGTCTACACAAGAGCTGATCAGCAACGTGACTCAAGGAGCAGACTTACCATCCCCTTGCACTGTGGTTATAAGGTGTCCATCTAGAAAGACATCTACATTGGAAAGGTATGAAGAAGGACCACGATCTACTACAACTTCATTTAGGACCTACAATGATATCAAATATCACTACTCTACTATTGCTGACTTGGCAATGTAACAAACGACAAGCAAAAACATGCTTTTCAGATCTTTGCAACTTTTGAATTACAATTGTGGATTATTAAGTGCCAGCTGAAGGTTTTGGGTGGTTTTGTTTGTTTGTTTTCTTTGATGTTAAGAATTACAATTTATGTCCAGAAGTTGGTTGTCAACAATGTGCAGGGATTTTCATTTTTATAAATGGGAGAGCCTGTTTTAAAGTTGCTATTTTCTTCTAAAGAAAAAAAGGAAAATATTAGTACAGGACAGTATAATATTAGCACTTATGATTGCAGTAAGTAATGAGGAACACCACTCCCTCATTATTCAGTGCAGATATTGTAAAATATACCAACATAGATCTGCCACACACTACTGGGTAAAGTGAACTAATGAGAAAGGGAAACTGATAAATAAAAACAATTTTCAAATCGCTTATTAGTTTTTTCATTTGTTTCTTTACTTATTTTGCCCTCTGACCTGATATTGCATAATTTGTTTGCCCACTTCTTTCTCTATGTTTGTAGACACTACTCCATTTTCTTCTATACCGTTCTGTATTGTTGTCTTCTCTCTGTTCTCTTTTACTACTCTCACTTTCAACCTGCTTCGTAAAACAAGTGCTGCATTGCCTAGAAGTAAAATACAGGAGAAAATGAGCAAAAATTCCATGCTAAAATAGTAAATTAAACTCTGTAATTACTTCCAATTCCAGCAAAACACCATCTGTCCCCACGCTTTCAACATTTCTAATTTCATTCAAAAGGGAATTGTCTATGTTTTGTTAAGGTCAAATCAATTTTTAATAGTAATGAGCAAAAACAAAGTCAAATTTGAGCTATACTTTTTTCCCTTTCCCTATCATGTAAAAAGAAATGTTAAGTTTTATAAGAAAAAGATAAAGTTTAGAAAAACCTGAAACATTAAGTAACTTCCACTGCAACAGAAGCTAAGTTTAAAAAAAACACTGCATTACAAAAATCCATTAAATGACACCACTCTAGAAACATGAAAATCCTCCATACTTTCAGAAATCATTATTTTGAGTACAACCCAAATAACCTTGTATTGAAGGGACAAAGTCTTTTATGAATTCTGTTTAGAAGAAAATTACTTTTATGTGAAATATGAAATACGACTTTCTTTACAACTACTTATTTAACTATCATTTCAGATATGAGATTTGCATTTGCTTTTACTTTTTATTTTACACAGGAAAAGCACACTCTTAGCCATGGTATGGATGGAAGCACTTGCCAGATCAATACAATTCCTTTTTCTTTTTCAGCTTAATATAAATGTTTTGTGACCCAGTTTTATGGAAAAACTTAAGTGAGTCAACATAAAAAATTAACCAATCTTAGAAAAATCTGCAAAAACACTTAATAAAAAACACACCCTGTCCCCTTAAATTTACCTTCTATAACCTGAGTGACTTGGGATTGAAAATTCTCAAAATTAAATGGAGTAAGAAATCCAAGGGATCCCAGATGAAAAGCCATAACTGGAGGTACACTACCCTATCAATAAAGAAAAGAATTTAAAAGCTACTGAATAAACGCAGTATTTTGACTATTGATGTAGTTTTAACTGTGCACAATAAAAACAGTGATACAGTAATGAGGCATATATGTTATTCTCAGGAGGTAAGGGTTAAAGGATAAACTCGATAAAAACAATGAATAACAGACAAAACATGCAGTTCTCTGCAACAACAGAAAAAACAATCTTTGAATACTCCAAAATGGAAAAGCAAGCTTTAAATCATTTACTATGAAGACCAACCTGAAAAAGTGAAGAAGCATAAAGTAAGGTCCCATCTCCTCCCAGGCATATGATAAAATCGATCTGATTGGAGATATCATCATAATCTTAAAATAAATAAATAGATAAAAATAAAGTTTGGGAATGCTAAGACAAATAATCTCTAAGTCTGTTTTTCTTTCAAGAAAGTATTTCCATACCTTCTCTGAAGGTGCAAAATTTCTTCTTCACTGGTCCAAAATTATCGTCATTAGCTATGGCTGGGTCTTCCAAAACCTTTTTTTCTACATACACTATCATGTTATTCACCTTAAAAGAGGCAAGATAAGGTTACTAATAATCTCTTAGCATGACGAAAATACTTGATTTTCCCCACAATTCCCATTAGTTTAAAACATATCATTAATATTTTACTGATGTGGTCTAATATTATTGAGAATTTTGAAGCACATAGTGCCTATGTAATAAATTAAAAGGAGCGAAAGAAACAATTTAGCCTTTCCTTTTTTTTTTTTAAACTCCAAATACTGCTCTGAAAGGTTTATTGCTTCCAGTGCAAAATGCATAACAATTCTTTACCCTACACAATTCCACACATTCCACCTGTAACAGAATCAATAAGACTGAGAATAGTTTAGATATAAATATATATATTTAATTATTGTACAAGAACAAAGAAGGTGTTATGTTTCATTACCTCAGTAAGATACACACAGAGCTCTTTAAAAGGCTGCAGCAGACTAGCATCACGTATCTTTTTAATAACGAGGACGCTCTTGGGAGGTTTGTTCCATGTCAACCGCTGGCTTGCTGGGTCCTGTATGTGCCTGAAGAACAGAACAAAAAAGCAGCATAAAACTTTAGGATCTGTTTTGACAAGGTTCTAGTCCAGTTAAGAGTACATTCTTAATTATAATCACATACAGTCCTCAAACAATACAAAGGATACAATAGGTTATAACTGTAATGATGCTTTTTCTCCTCTGCATTCAATCAGTGCTTCACCATACCAAGAGGCAACACTGCGTTAAGTTGCCCATTCCTGCAACTGCTAACAAGCTATTAATGTTTGCAAGCAGGAACTTTAATACAAGCACTACAAAGGCCACTGGGATCAAGTTCTTTAACTGCTATCTGAACCGATGCTTCCAGAATCCCCCTCTCGTCTTACTGCTCTCTCTTTAACTGACTTAAAATTAAAATAAACAATTATGGAATCAGAAAAAGCTATTTAAAAGTCACTATTTAAAGGCCATTCTGGGCAATCTGTACTGCAACTCTTTAATACTTCTTATCAAGAAGCCCCAAAATTAAGATCTTAACAAAACCTGAAATATTCTATTTCAGTACAGTATCAAGGTAAACTTTAGAGATATGCAAGTACAGGCAAGTCTTGTGCAGTGTTTCCTAAAAACACTATCCTAAATATTCATTAATTTTTTCTGAGTGTTAAAACCAAAATAGATTTATCTGCTTAAAGTAACACAAGTAACTCCTGCTTGAAATTAAGCAAAGCTGAACTTTAAAAAGACTTTCAAAACTGTTCTGTTTTTCTATTGTGAGATTGCATTTAAAGAGTTGAGAACCTCAAGAACTAAGCTACTTGTGTAAAATAATTTTGTAGCTTTCTAGTGACAAAAGTAGATTCAGTAGTAGAATTTCACATTGCTCCATAATACATTAGGCTGATTTAGGAACATTCTGCTGCATTTTTCTACTTAGTTTGCAATTCCTTTTGAGCTACATAATTTCATAGATTTTAAACATCTCATCCCATATGGCGCAGCTAATCCACGAAGCAAAGCAGATTAGTATAAATGCTGTGCAAGCCAAAATTACAGAGAGATTTGGAGTTAGCACATTAAGGGTTAAAACAAAACAGATGCCGCTAAGGATGACACAACAACTTGCTCATGTTACTGTCAAGAAAAAAAGCTGAATGCCTATATAGAACACTGAGTACAACAGAAATTATATGCTAATGAAATACTCTAAAACTGAGCACCTTAAGCAACGCATAAACTGCTGCAACTCTCTCTAAATATTATTATGTAATACACAGCAGTATAAACATACAGTTTTTTCTACACTCAGTACTATGTACAAGCTATCAACATTACACTAAATTTAATTTCATTGGATTTTACTATCACAGAATTATGTAATATTTGATGTTCGTAGGGACCTCTGGAGATCATCTAGTCCAATCTCACCGCTTAAAGCAGCGTGTTGTTTTTTTGAAGATAAAGTATTTAGTCTTAAGTATCACCATGATCTCCGATTGCAGTTCATATGGGAAGAGTTCTCTTGCCTTCATTTGCCAAGCAGCAGCACTTGGCAATTGAAAAAAAGTAATGTTTAACATTTACATGTTTACTGTTGCTGAACAAATACAAAGGAACAGAAGTTTTATATGCCATTTTTACATAACCAGTGGCTAAAAATGTGACTTTCTATACTGAAGCTCATTTAATAAAATTGAATTCCTCAGATCTCAATACTATTGAAAAAGACAATACATATACAGAAACACCCCCCCTCATATTTCACCTTAATCAGGCTACTTTGTAAAGTAGCAAGCAATGAAATAAAGCCTGCAGTACTGCTTTCCATTTAAAAATCCAAGAACTAACACAAAAATTATTCAAATCAATCTATTTCAACTGTACTCACCAATTCCATGTAGTTCTACTAAAGGAGAAATTATTCCTAACATGCTGTATGATCTTCATTTTTTTTTTTCTCAGAAAAAAAGGCAAGTACAACAAAACTCCAAAAACTGAGGCTTACATCACTTCTCACTAAACCGATACCTCACAGAAGGCATTTTCTCTAAAGTTGATTTCCGGAAAAGTATTTTGATCAGTCTCAATAATAGGTTATGAGGTTTTCAGAAAAAAAAAAAAAAAAAGACTTATAAAAGAGTATTACAGAACTTCAGAGGCAACGAGGTTTCATAGGGGAAAAAATGCCATTTCAAGAAAGAGTTTAAAAACAGGTAACTGAGCACTCCTCTTTTCCCAAAATATAAATACTTAATAATCATTCTGTTCTTCTGATCTTTTTATGTAACAGACTTCAACAAGGCGGTTTTTCAATGCAGTTATCACCATTAGCACTAAACAAGTAAGACTTTAAGATCATTTCTAACTGATGTCCATATTCACAAAGTAGGATTTTCTGTTACATTCTCTTTAGTGAAGAGAATTTAACATTATTATTGACTAACAAGAAAAAAGCAGTATCAAAAAAAAATTGCATGTTTTAAAAGCCACAATAAAAAGTCACAAGAAACACAAACAGAAGCTTACAATTTAGTTTCAAATAATCCTTTCCTTCTACAACCTGAGAATGTCTTATTTCCTCAGCTACTCTGAACACTGCATTAGCTGTCTTCCTTGGCAAGTAGTTTGCCCTTCGTATCGCCACTGCCTCTGTGCTGAACTGCTCCTGAACTGCTCCTTATATTGCACCAAAGCCGGTTCAGCCCATGGGGAGGAGCATATTCAGCAGTCAGGTGGGTCAATGCAAACTAGATTTTCAGATGAACCTCAGTATAACAAGGCACTAAACTAAGAACAGAAGAAAAGCATGAGGAAGTTGAGAGTTTCCCAACCCTCCAAGATTTCTGTCATATCTTGTGAAAGATGACCATCACACCAACTTGATTTGAGGATAACTACTATTATTTAGGTAAAGATCTAGGCAAATAAATCTAAAATCTAAATACCATAAAGTTAACTATATTTAGCTGAAAATCAGAGCAATAAGAGCTTTTCAAAAGAACATTAACTTAATAGTTCCCATATATCTACAGTCCCTATCAATTCCTTATTTGACCAAGTCAAGACACTGTTTACTAAGCATATAATACATGATGAAAAAAGGGAATACTCTATGTCATTCAACCTACAAAAATAAAATGCTCACGTAGCTGAATAGATTCCACACCCTAACTACACACTAAATTTACCAGCAACATAGATGAAAAGCAAACTTGTCTAGATATTCATACACAGAAAATGCCACAGATTTTCAAACTACAAGTGTACACCACAGAGCAATTTCTCTTCACGTTGTCCATTAAAACCCTTGTTCTTTCATTCTTCCACCACTGAAAAACAACTCTTGCGTGTATGCATATATATTTACTATGCGATAATGTAGTATACTTCTTAACCCACAGACTAAGCTGATAAACATCTAATTTGGTTTTACTTGAGAATCCACTTGCAATGCTATCATCCATTTTCCTCCCAGAAAGACCTTTCAAAAGGTCTCTGTGATTTAAATGAGAGGCTATTTTCTGCAATATAAGCCCCATACTGGCAATCAGTCAGCACAAAAACCTCTGAATATCAAAAAGTGAGTAAGTGGTGGAAAAGCAAATGGCTATTTTCTTTCACACAGAATAATACTACTGTTAATTTGACACAATCAACTTACATGATCGTTTTAGGATTTTGCAGCATACAGGCCTTTGGTCCAAAGGTGGTCACTGGGCATGGTCCATGCAAGGAGCGTGTCCTCCTGGAGAGGAAAAAAAGATAAAGAAAGTGAGGACAAACTGCATACAATTAGCTTCCCAAACACCAAAGCCACTTTGAAAAATCGTATGAGGTAATTCAGGGCAAAGTACATTTCTTACATTTGCATTTGCTGATGACCAGTCAATATAGTTTTATGTGTGTTAGCTCATCTGTTACAAAGCTAAAACGTAACTCTTCCTACTCATTGAACCTTCACTTCGCACAAAACATCATAGCTTCAAACAAGGTACGAACAAGTTTTCTCAATTCTTTCCATGAAAGCACGTCTAGCCTTAAGTTTCTTGTTAGTTTTAACTCTTCTGGCAGTACAATACAGAACAGTATGTGTGTCTGAGCCAAGAGTGCTACACAGTAGTAAAACAAACAAACAAACCCACACAAAAATTATATTTTTCAAAAAAACCTCTTCCTTTTTCTTAACGTATAAATCTAGGCATGACTTGCTCAGACAGATGAGTTTTTTTTAGCAAGTGTTTTACAATGCTATCCTTATTTACATTAATAGAAAAATGAGCAACGATGTACATAGCTACAGATTAATGCACATACCATACATGTAAAGGAATGGTAAGTACCTGTCTACTTTATAACAATTACACCAGAAGCAGGGTATTAAAATAATACTCTGACAACATCGAATATCACCTCCCACATGCTCTACCCACACCTCAACCAATAACTCTCTTTTTTGACTTCTTTCAACAGAGGTCCTGAAACAATGCCACTCCCTGTAGTTGGCTAATCTCTCCTCTTACAAGAGGCAAAGATACACATCTGACCCACACAACACTTTAGCCTAAGTTTCCTCTGCAGACTCAAGTTAAAAAAAATAAAAAACCCCACACTTTTAATCAACAGATCTTGTTAAAAACACAATGGATAAGGTCTACAAAGATCACTTCCAGTTTAAAAGTTGTATCTTGACAGAAGAATAAACAGAAATTTAGACCATGTGGTCTTTTTGCACAGGTTGACTAAAGATAAGTCTGTAGTCCTAAAGATTCAAGTGGAGAGGAGAGAAAAGAAATTCCAGTTTTAGAACATTCTTTTAACGTAAAGACTTACTTACCTTTTAGCTTGGATGCACAGCCTATTAGCTAGAACAACAAAGTCGGAGCGTAGCCTTTGTGAACATTTCCCAGCCATGGAAGTACTTGGCTTTTGTACGTCATTGACTTTCTGAACTACATATGCAAAATAATTTTCTAAGCTTTAATCTCTTTAGGTACAGACTTTTGCCATGCTTCCCTTCACTATAAAGCTTCCCCTCTTATCCTACCTACCAAGCAGTAGGAGGGGAAGAGAATTCCATCAGTTGAGCAATTCTGCCGTGATTCTGCCCATGCTCCAAGCATGTGGACAGACACAAGCTAGTAACAAGTGCTGATAAACTTCCCGCAGGAATAAGACACGCTGCAATCAAAGCAGGCTATTTAAGAGCTCTAACGGGTCCAAAGATCACAACATTAAAAGTTGAATCCACGTTGTCCACATGACAAAGCATGAGAGCAGCTATTTGGCATGGAAAAAAATGGGCGTTTCTAAGTGCTGCAATATGATCTGCAAGCACGAACTTTCCTTGTGCTTCCTCATGTTACCACGTAACTTAAATTCCTGTACAGGTTTTTCATATACAGCACTAGCTGCAAACTGATTCCTTTTTGACAGTATGAACTTTGCAATACCTGTTTTGACAGTCATGCTTTTTTGATTACAGGTATGGTTTAATATCTTCCCTCCATCATTCTAAACTAAGGACTATCTGAAATGCATTTTAAGGAGCTCTTAAAAGCAACTTCTTGAGCAAGAGATAAAGTTCTGCCAACTTGTATTTCTCCTGTGTCTCTGAGTTACTATCAAGCTTTGAATTAATACCCCTAAGTACAGAAGCTTTTGCAATTTATTTCTGTAAGGTACTTAGAAGTTCTAAAGCTATGTTGAAACACGACCAGTACCTTGAAGTCTATCCTGAGAGCTTGGAAGTAGAATATTTAAGCACAATGGATTTTGCAAAACTGAAAATTATTATTTTGCATTTATGTGTTTTCAGGCAATAACATTCTAAGAATCTAAGTTTCACCAAAAAAAAGGAGGAAGAGGGGATTTGTGTCTATTATGTTTCACATAGCCCTTTCTAAATGTAATTCTTTCTTGAAGCCAAACTCCGATACACAATCGGCTCAGACAGCAATTAAAAGGCACACACAAAGCAAATGAGTAAGGTATTGTATTGCTGAAGCTGTATGTGCATATGTACATTATTGCAAAAACACTTATTAAAAACAGTTTAAGATCTACTGAAAAACAATAAAAGAGAAGCAAGACCGCAGTGCTAACTAGAAACCAATTAACATGAATGTGGATTTAGTGAAGACCACCTAGTGAGCTTGTTCAAAAACTCAAGTTCATTTCACAGCATGGATCAACTAGAATGATGGCTCACTGATTACCTTTCTCCCTGCTCATTACCACAAATTTTGTTTTAATGAATGCTATTTTTCTTTCTGCTTATTATCACTTGACACAGCTGCAGGACTAGTTACACAAAAAAAAGAGTAAAGATAACCACAATATACTTCTTTTTTTTTCCTTAAAGGTAGCAAAGCAGGAAGAAACAAGAGCCATACCGGAATTCTTTGGTGCTTCCAAGGGCTGGTGAAGCAGACAGGCTTCGGGACTTAGCTCGACCCCGGCTACTACTGCCCCACTCCTCGTCATCATGACATGCTGAACAATGATAAGCAGACTCTGAGCTTGCATCAGCTTTATTGGTATGCAGTTTTTCTCGATTCATCTCCATACTGGAAGTGAAGGAGCTTCAGCCAGGGAAAAACTCAATGCCTGTGGTAAAAATACCGGGGAACAAGAGGAAGGAAGGAAAGAAGAAAGTTTCTGTATTACCAAAGCTACCAACACAAATATTAGGCACTTAGCTGACATACTTAGAATTTTGAGAAACACTTCTCAAAGAGATCTGGGCCATTGAGAAGTTCTTCAAAACCATCAGAAGATGTTGGAAGGAAGACCAGAATTAAAACACAGAAGATTCCCACACCTACAAGTAGGACAAGACCAAGTTGAAGAAAGTTCTTGAAATAAACCTGTTCTTGCCCTAACAGAATACCACTACTAACAGTTACAGTTACTGTCATCTGTTAATAATTTATAACATCTTCCACTGAAAGGTATCAATGTTTAGTTGTTGGTTACTCATTGTTTAGTATCACCTATGACCAACAGTTCAGAAACGCTCATTTCAACACACTGACTATTCTGACATCTGTAGTCTGGAAAAACGTAGATCAATTTTCAGGCAGCTCCAAGCTCAATGTATTTTTTGTGCCCAATTCGTGCATATAATTACTGGGATTGTAAAACAGACTGAAATCTGACACAGCATAAATTTTAATAGGTTCTCATTTGCATTACTTTTTAATCACAACTTCATCAAGTTTCAGAAGCACATCACTGGCTGATTGTTTCTGAGCTACGTATAAAAATCAAGTCACTTAAATGCCTACGTTTCAGAAAAAAAAGTAACTTTACATATGAGATATTCAGCACCTCTGACTGTAGAGGATCCTATATTGTTTGTTTGTTAATTCATCTTCTAGACTAAGACATTGGTTTTATTTTAGAGATTCCTGACTTGAACAACCATTTAACAACATATAACAACTGTATGTTCCCATCCTTTATCAACTTCTCATTCTTAGCCAAGGGATAGCAATGCACCTCGATATTCATTGTATTAGAGGGGGAAAACCTGATTAATACAAAACTCTTTATCAACTTCTCATTCTTAGCCAAGAGACAGCAATGCACCTCAATATTCAATGTATTAGTCTGGAAAACCTGATTAATACAAAACCAGAAATAAGAATCTGCAAAGATCTTCCTGCATGAACCTTTCCAATTCAGACTATTTTAACTACAGTTTACACCCTACACTTGTAAAAAAAAAAAAAAGGAAATTAAAAAAAAAAAAAAAAGCATTTAAAAAGATTCACGATCTTTCAAAGGAAGTAGCTACACAAGGAGCATAAGGCTACAGTTTTCTTTAAGGAGTTGAAATCATTTTTGATGAGAATGCTTTTAGTAGTTATTTTGCAAAAAAAGTTCTCCTCTCTGTCAGATGCATGCTACTAATTCACCGTGATGATTACTGCAGAGTGCATCTCAACCAAATGAACACACTGGACCTAAAATGCCTTTAAGATCGCAACTATTCTACCCTTTATTTAGAATTGCATCAGCTATCCAACTTCTCCATTTTGCAACTTATCAGCCATGTATCAGAGCAAAAGAGAGCAAGTTATATCCAGAAACCGCATCAGTTGCTCTATTGCTACAGCCTCCTGCTCCCTTGTTCTGGAGGGTATTCACTTCATTCTGCAGGCAAGCGTGTTCGTTTTGTTTTGTTTTTACTCAAGAAAGCACTCCATTGAGCGTACACACACATGACTCCATCCGCAAGGCTCTGGGGCTCCCCTCACCCAAGAAAGTAGCAACATCTGTATCAAGCAGTCAAGCCTTGGGTTTAGTTCAGAACTTGGCGTTCTAGTGTATCTGAAGCAAACAGCAAACAAGCAAAACCTTTCTGAAGTCTGGCTCTCCAGCACAAGGTGAAATTCCATGTCATTTCTTTTGATTACATGCTTACAGAACACTTGCACAGTATTACAGTATTTCTAAAAAAAAAAAATGCAGCATGACTATCACATGTTAAATACACAAGGGAAACAAATCCCTGAGTTAAACCTTCCACTGCAGAAACACCAGCACAGCAGGCAGCTTTGTTTAACATACCAAGGAACAGATATTAATAAGCACAAACTCAGGCTCCCAGATATGTCGCTGTCCGCGTTAGCCTGAGACAAAATACTAGAGTTGCAAACAAGAAGCGGACGGGGTCGCGGGCCGAGCGACCTTGTCCCGTTATCCCCTCTCCGCTCCCGGCGATGCTGCGCGGCCCGGGGGCCCCGCGGAGGCCGCGCGGGGCTGCCCTGCGAGGAGCCG